CCCCGTCCCACGGGCTGCCCGGGGCCCGGCAGCGGAGGGGGTGCCTGGGCCCCCGCCCGCGCCGCGCTGCCCCGTGAGACGGGCTGGGGCGGGAGCTTGGGCACAGGGCTTCGGGGCGGCGGCGAGCGGGGCGAGCACTTTCACAAGCGAAGGAGTCGGCGGTTGCAGGTTATCGCCGGCGCGGCCTCTGCAGGCGGGGGTTTGCGGGTGTCCGGTGCGCAGAGCCGGGGTCAGCTCGGCTGGCCGGTGGGGTTGTGTGCTCTTAGCGAGTGACAGAACCGGACGAGTCGCTTACCGGCTCCGACCGTTCCGTAGTCTAAATAAGGAACTGGCGAGCACTTAAACACTGCCTTGAAACAGCGAAGTGCCCAGAGCTCTTCCTGCTGCTTTCACGTAAAACGACGGCGCTGTGCTCCGCGTCACTTACTGGGCATCGTGGCACGCCGTGGGTTTTGGAAGGGTAGTTCTTCAGTCAGCGAGCTTAGGTGTTTACATTTCTGGTTAACCTTTTTATGTCCAATAGCTCCTTCCCTGCTATTCGAGATAAGTTTTACCTACAGACTGTGAAAAGGATCTGATAGCCCAGAGCCCAGGGCCAACCATTTGATTTGTGCTGGGAGCACAAATTGTTGGACTAGCGTACGTTCTTCAGGCCTGGTTAATGTTCCAGCTTCTGCTTTCTTGCTCACCGATAAGATAAATACATGCGAATATGCGGTGTGGGCGAGCATTGCCATGCAGGAGGTATGCGAGTTACAACAGCAGGCATCTCTACCAACTCGGTACAAAAAGTTTTATTTCTGCGGAATAACTTAAATGTAGTTATTTATAACTGGTTTTAGAGGTTTTGCATTTGAACTGTAACCATTCCTTTTTTCTTCCATGTGGTCTTACCTTGTGTTTTACGATTTCTATATATATATGTGCAATCGAGTCACAAACTCAGCGCAAACACAAAAAGAAAGTGTTTTAGCTGCTGAAGTGTTTTAGAAAAGAAAGTGTTATAGCTCTTCCCCCCACCCATATAATCTGTGGTGCAAAAATGTTGTTATATGGAAAATGTTGTTTTATGGAATCTTGCCTTTTGCAGATACCCTTAAAATACTTCCTTTTGGATACCTTTTTTTTTTTTCCAGTACAGGGTTTTAATAGGAGAGGGATGAGCATACTTATCTTTTAACGGGTAAGAGGTTTTCTATCCCCAGCTGTAAGCCTTCACTTCTCTGTCAGTGCTATTATGTTCTGTATTTAAATGTTGGCAACTAATTTTATTCTTTCAGATTTAGCACTTTGTAAGTAGGCTCACTGCAAATTAGATGTCAGTTAAGGAGCTGTAAAAATTACGAACTTCTTAATAATAAGATAAAAGAAGTGAGATCTTGAAGTTTATGTAGTCATTTAGCAAATCAGAATTAAATCAGCTTTTCAGTTCAGAAGGTGGATGGTTGCAGTGTTCTCCACAGAACAATGGTTTTATGTCCTCGTGGTCCAGGATCCTGACACGTTCATACCCTCCACCCTCTCACCAGTATAATAATTCAGTCTGAATAAAGAACTGCAGAACTCCTTCTCCAACAGGTAGTGGTGGGCAGCACCATTTGAATTTTAATGATACTGAAATTAGAGCAGGTATCACAGTGCCTTCAAGTGTCACGATGCAGAACTTTTTGGAAGAAGCGTTTGGGGGTTTTGTGGAGGCGTACGTAGGAAGGAGGATCCTTCTCTGCCCTCGCTGGTGATGTTGGGGAGCGTGGGTAGCTGCCGGTGCCATGAGGACGTGGAAGATGTGATGGATACCGGGATGCTCAGCCTGTCCGCCTGGGACCCGCTCCCTTGCTCGCCCCGGGAAGCACCTCGCCAGCCCCCCCCGCCCCTCGCCTCGTGATGCTGGAGGCAGGCCTAGCCTTCCCGGGTCTGATCCCTCCGGAGGGCAAGGGCATGTCCACTGGGATTTTCTCTTGCGGTGGAAGCCGCTCAGTGAGGTGAGACAAGGATCTCCCCCTTCTCCTGTGCTCCTCTGCCTGTGAGTACAGTAACCTCTGCTCCAGCACCCCTTCTCCTGCAGCCCAGGGCCCCGCTGGCCCTGTGGGTCTTTTTTGCCTCTTTGTGCAGAGGGAGGAACTCTTCTGTTCCGGGCGAGGAAGGGGGAACGGAGAGCTGGTCCCCGTGACTGGCAGGGCCCTGCCCGCAGCGCTGGTCGGAGGGGAAGCACTGCAGGGCTTGCCTGCACCACAGTAGCGTGAACTAGGCCGCAAGGCGAGTAGCAGAAAGTAGTTGAAGAACTTTTAAAACTTCATCTTAAATAAGCCAGTTCTATTCTTTATTTACTCTATTTATTTTTATTTCAGTCACTGTTCCATTCTCTCAGGTATCTGGTGTAGAATCCTATCATGTATTCAACGCTTCAGATAATATGCATTTTACTCCAGAACAAAAAAAAAAAGGGGGGGGGGTGTTAAGTCAAAGATTAATATAGCATATGCTATTAATAAACATCTGATTGTCCTCAATTTAACTTGCATGAAAAAGCAAATTGGAAAGTAATAAACCTAATTAAGATAAAAGCAAAAATGGAAAAAATATTTTTTAAATGTTATGTATGGCATGTCTAAGTAACATGAGTAATGAAGCTGCTGAAATGAAGCCCTGAGTAATGCGTTAAAAATTCTGTTTGTCACAGATGGACCAGTCGTCTCCAACCTACGTGCTTGCCAACTTAACCCACTTGCATTCTGAACAGCTTCTGCAAGGCTTGAACCTCCTTCGCCAACATCACGAGCTCTGTGACATTATCCTTAGAGTTGGCGATGTCAAGATCCATGCCCACAAAGTGGTGCTTGCCAGCATCAGTCCATACTTCAAAGCCATGTTCACTGGGAACCTTTCTGAGAAGGAGAACTCAGAGGTGGAGTTCCAGTGCATTGATGAGGCAGCCCTGCAGGCCATCGTGGAGTATGCCTACACGGGAACCGTGTTCATCTCACAGGACACTGTAGAGTCGCTTCTTCCAGCTGCGAATCTTCTCCAGATCAAACTGGTAGTGAAGGAGTGTTGTGCGTTTCTTGAAAGCCAGCTCGATCCTGGCAATTGCATCGGGATTTCTCGTTTTGCAGAGACCTACGGCTGCCATGACCTCTACTTGGCTGCTAACAAGTACATTTGTCAGAACTTTGAAGATGTTTGTCAGACGGAAGAATTTTTTGAGCTTACGCATTCTGAATTGGATGAAATTGTTTCCAATGACTGCTTGAATGTTGTGACAGAAGAAACCGTTTTTTATGCGCTTGAGTCCTGGATCAAGTACGATGTGCAGGAGCGACAGAAGTACTTAGCACAGCTGCTACATTGCGTTCGGTTGCCGCTGCTGAGCGTTAAGTTTCTTACGAGGTTGTATGAAGCAAACCATCTCATTCGTGATGACCATACTTGTAAACATCTGCTAAATGAGGCCCTAAAATACCACTTTATGCCTGAACACAGACTTTCCCACCAGACCATGTTGATGACACGGCCTCGCTGTGCTCCTAAAGTTCTTTGTGCTGTAGGAGGAAAAGCTGGACTGTTTGCGTGTTTGGAAAGGTATGTAATAGTGAAGTTGTTGTAGCGCTTGCGTGGTGTGATGTTCATGCATGTTTATCGCCCTGGGTCAGGATTAAGGCAATCATTGAGGAGCTGTGGTTTGCAGGACTGTGGTTACTGCTTTCCTTCGTAAGATCTCTTAAGTAGATTTTGCTTGTACAAGGAGGAGCACTGAATTCAAAATGCCTTTTTATTTCATGAGTAATCTTCGACGTTATGAGG